AGAAGGGATCGTTGGTCCCAGAAACCACAACGGCTTCCAAATGGAAGACAGAAGTAGCCAGAAGCATCCAAACTTCTGAAAAACAGAAACTGCATCAGTTTGAACTGGGTCGTTCAGACCACTCAACTCCCAGGGCCAAGTGGGAATCGGGGCCTGGCTTGCCCACTGAGTGTGTTGCTCGGGGTCCAGCCTCAGTACCCCCTACCTCTGGTGGCAGTGGGAGGGGAGGGGGCACTTGGAGGGGAGTTAGATTGCCATGCAGAACAGGTGCTGATGGCTCTGGGCTTCCATGCTGGCCTCTCTCCTGCAGTATGTGGACATGAACTCATCCAGGAACCTCTTTATCTTTGGCTTCTCCGTCTACTGTGGGCTCGCCATTCCCAGCTGGGTGAATAACAACTCTGAGAAGCTCCAGACAGGTGATTCTCTGTCTTCTAAACTGTGACCGCTCCAGGGGCAGGGCCAGTGGGGACCTTGGTCCCTGGGAATCCCTGTTGCTTTTGTCTTCACTCTAGGGATTCTCCAACTGGACCAGGTCATCCAGGTGCTGCTGACCACGGGCATGTTTGTTGGTGGATTTCTGGGCTTTCTCCTGGACAACACCATCCCTGGTAGGGCTCGCCTTCACTCTGTAGGCTGGTGGTGTGGGTAGATAGGCAGCATTTGGGCCACCCACATGGCTTCTCTGACCCTTATTACCATGTCAGGCTGACCACAGCATATCCTGAGCAGGCCCTGCCTCTGGGTGGGACATACAGGCCCGTATTAGCTTTCTAGGGCTGCCATAACAAAACGCCCTGGACCAGTTTAAACAGCCAAAGTGTATTTCCTCACAGTCTGGAGGCTAGAAGACTGGGATCAAGGTGCTGGCAGAGTTGGTTTCTCCCGAGGCCTCTCTCCTTGGCATGCAGGTGGCCGCCTTCTTGCTGTGACCTCATGTGGCCTTTCCTCTGGGTGGGTGCATCTCTGGTGTCTCTCTGTGTGTCCTAGGCTCTTCCTATAAGGACACCAGTCAGATTAGATTAGGGCCCACCCTAAAGACCTCATCTTTAACGGAATCACCTCTTTAAAGGTCCTATCTCCCAACGTATTCACATTCTGAGGTAGGGGGGGTAAGGCTTCAACCTATGATTTTTGGGGGGACACAATTCAGCTAAACAGGGCCCTAAGGTAAGAAACACACCAGAAACAAAAACAGCTAAGAGCCCAAAGTCTGATTGGTGAGGGAGAGAATACATGTATTCTTTCTTTCTTTTTTTCTTTCTTTCTTTCTTTCTTTCTTTCTTTCTTTCTTTCTTTCTTTCTTTCTTTCTTTCTTTTCTTTCTTTCTTTCTTTCTCTTTCTTTCTTTCTTTTCTCTTTCTTTCTCTTTCTTTCTTTCTTTTCTTTTCTTTTCTTTCTTCCTTCCTCCCTCTCTCTCTCCCTCTCCCTCCCTCCCTTCTTTCTCTCTTTCTCTCTTTTTCTTTTCCTTCCTTCCTTCCTTCCTTCCTTCCTTCCTTCCTTCATTCCTTCCTTCATTCCTTCCTCTTTCTTTCCATAAAAACCCATTGAACACTTGCTGTGTTCCAAGTGCTATGTACTGAGAATCCAAAGAGCAGAAAGACATGCCTTCCACCTTCCAGAAACCCACAGGCTAACAGGGGAGAACAGACAATGAGAATAGAGGGTAATACATGTGGTGAGGAGCAAACCGAGTCTCTGGGTGCTGAGGATGTCGCAGTGAGGAGTGCAGACCTCCCACGGCCTCTTGAGAGGACCTTTAGGATAGCACCTGCTTCGTGGTACTCTATTTTCCACATTTGTTCTCTCCAAGTTTAAAGTGCATCTGCATTCTAGAAACAAAGCGTGGAAAGACCTGCCCCTTGAAGGTGAGGAAAGGATGGTGTTCAGAGAAGATTGTACCGTCCCGCAGGGGGAGCTCAGGGAATGCCCTGGAGCGCCCCTGAGCTGTGACTCCGAATGGGCAGAGAAGGAGGAGGTGCTGTTGGCAGGTGGAGGGCGTGGAGAGGAGACCACACGAGTGCCTGCAGGGGGCACCAGAGGCTCCCCCAGCCCAGCTGGTGCTCTGGTCAGTGCCCAGGGCTGACTGCTTGCTGTCTCCCATTAGGAAGCCTGGAGGAGAGAGGCCTCCTGGTATGGAATCAAATCCAGGAGGAGTCTGAGGAGACTACGAAGGCCTTGGAGGTGTACCGCCTCCCCTGCGGGATTGGCACCAAGTCCTGCACATCCCCCTGCACCCAGTACCTCCCCTTCTGGCCCAGGCTGGAAGCTGGGAAAGGTGAGCGTGGAATGAACCTGCTCGCCTGCCTCTTCCAGGATCCCTCAGGAGAGCGCCCGAAGGGTGCCACGGAAACCAAGTTATGAGAAGAACTGTCCTCACGCCTGCCCCAGAGCGCTCGTCACCAGCCCCCTGCCCCACCCCATGAGCTCATCTCCCCGTGCAAAGATGGGTGGGCACCCTGCAGCGGTCGCAGCCAAATTCGTATTCGATTAAGACCATGACAAAGGTGCTTTGACACAGTGACTTAAACACCACAGCCTTCCACTGCACTCCAGCGAAAACCAGTCTCCTATCTCCAGCGTAAGCCAGTGTAACCCAGCGTCCGCACAGAGACTCTCTCAGTCCATATGTTCTCGGCCATAATTTGATGCGTTGGGAGGAAGAGGCCTGGGATGTGGCAGGGGACGGAGACGGGGCTGTTTGCTGAAAGGCGAGCCCCTCTTGTCCTCCCCTCCGAGCACCTGCCCCTCAGGGCTGGCTCTTCGGAAGAGGTGAGGAGCACCCTCTGCTCCTCCAGCGCCCGCTCTGAGCTCCTGGTGCTCCAGCCCGCGGCCGGCTCGGGCGGTTTGTGATGGATTGTTCTTTAATCGCACGTTCTTGGAATCAAGTGCACGGACTCTGGCTTAGGCTTTGGCTTGCTCACGCAGGCTGCCAAGGGATTGGAACTCACTCCACTTAATGGCCTCCTTGTTTCCTTATTTTAATAGGTCGCCAGACCGCCTCATGAACTCCTGCCTGAGTTTCCAGCTGGTTGGTCTGCCCTGCAAATTTCAGATTTGCAGTCTCCACTGTGAATACTTAAACCTAGACCTACACCCGTTCCCACGCCCACACCTATCCTCTTGGGGCTGTTCCTCTGATGGGTACAGCACTGGCTAATATGGGAAAATATCATCAGTCAAGACACAGGAAGATACCTGACCAATGTGGGAAGAGGCCTAGGTCGGGAGAACGGGAGGGCAAGCCCCATCGGAGGGGATTTTAAAACAACACATCCATCCTGGGCTGCACCATATCCAGTGAGCAGAGGGGAGCAGAGGGCCGATGGGGCTGAGTGGAGGCGGGAAGGCTCCTAGCACATGGCCGTGGGGAGAAAGAACAGCATTCCCCTGAGGTCCACGCTGACCAGGGCCCCACTGGCCCATAATGCTCCAGGAATGAGGACTGAACGGGAGTGCGTGGGGGCTGGCTAGAGCCGGCACTCGTTCCTTGAGGACCTGCTGTGTGCAGCCACCTCTGTAAAAATTTCTCCTTTCCCACATGCTGGCCTGTTCTTGACTGGGGGGACTGCCTGGGGGTGGTCGTGAGCACTGAGTGCCTGGGCGCTGGGGCCATGCGCGCTCCCCTTTCCTTCCTTCCCAGCACACATGTGGGCAACCCCGAGGATAAAGGCCGGCCTGCCCCTCCTCTGGGTTGTTTACGAAAAGCTACAGTCCTTGCATATCCGCCATGGGAGTCCCTGGGGGTGGGCTGGTGACAGGACGTGAGGTGAGGTGTGAGCCCTGGGGCTGAGAGCAGGCAGGGCTGCGCTTGGGTCCCAACACCTAACCTGCACGTCGGTTTCTTCCCAGGAGATGGAACAGCCGAAGGATCTGGGAGGCCTTCCGGGGAGGGGGGCCACTGTAATGATGATGTGAAACTGTAAAAAGCCAGGGAACCCGTTCTCTGCACACCTGGTGGGTTAGTCGGGGTTCTCCAGAGAAACAGAGCCACTAGGATGTAGGACGTGTGGGCACGCGTGCACACACACACACACACGCCCACACGCTGTATCCGTGTGCGCACACACGTACATAGGGAGAGAGATGTTACGGAATGGGCTTGCATGGTTGTGGAAGCTGGACTGTCCGCAATGGGCAGGGTAGGCTGACAGACTGGGGAGTGTTGCTGTTCGCGCCTGAAGGCACTTCCCGCCTCCTCATGGGAGGTCAGTCTTGGTGGGATGAGGCTGACCCATATTATGGAGGGTAATTACTCCATATTTACTCAAAGTCTGCTGGTTTAAATGTTTATCTCATCTCAAAATACCATCATAGAAACATCAAGAAGATTGTGTGCCCAAATATCTGGGTACCGTGGCCTGGTCGGCCACATAGAATCTGCCGTCACATCCAATGTGCACGCCCAGGAGCCTCACCAGAAGGCACTCAGAACACAGTGGAAGCTGGCTTTGATCTCCACTTAGGAGTCTCCATTGCCAGAAGAAGCAGATGAAGCTGGTTCTACCCTGATGTCCTATAGCTCCTATAGCCACAGGCGTGGTCTGCACCGTTCCTGGGCTCCCAGAGCATGCAGGATGAGTAAGTGGCCTCCAGAACTCTCTAGAACCCACCAGAACTCTGCCCTGAACCCAAGGTGTGCTGAAAGTACCTAGTGTCATGGCACCTCTGGGGACAGATCCTGCCCGTCCTTTCTCGAAAGGCCCGTGGCCTGGGCTTTGGGCAGGCTGCACCCAGGACCCCTGAATGGGAACACAGGAGGGGCAGGTGTGTACCTCACAGCAGGCCAGCCACTTATACCAAACGACCCTGAAAGACTGACACAGGGCCACACTACTTTTAAAGACTTTATAATAATCAGAAACTCAAACCATCAAAATGCTCTGGGACAGCCACTCTGAAATGTCCCGGAAGGGGGAGGCAGGTACAGCCTTGGCTGCTGGCATTAGTGCTTGGAAACTGCCCACCTCATTCATCCCCTCCCATCCCAGCCCTTCCGTATCACAGATCTTCATCATCGAAGGTCTCCATGCACCTCAGCATTATCATCTCATCGTCAGTGGGGAGGTCTGCGTCCTGCAAAACACAGGGTGCAAGAGGATCAAAGTGTATTTAAGGAATCCAGGCTCCAAGCAGGTGGGACAACCCCCAGCAACTTCCTCAGAGTCCACCCCAACTCTTGCTGTATCTTCTTCTCCAGCTTCCGGCCAGGAAGTAAAGGCTACGGGGTGGGTGGGCCCATTTCCATTTCATGCAACTCATAGATCACGCCCTATGATCTTCAGAAAGGGTTTTCCTGGACACAACAGAACTGGCTTCTTTTCCATCCCGGGCATTTGCAGGATCTCAGAAGACAGAGGGGAGACCTCTCAAAGCTTTCTCCAAATGCCCATCCACGGAGGATGGTGAATTACACCACGGTGTGCCCACCAAGGGAATACCAGGACATTGTTTGAAATAACAGGAATGAGGTCGTTCTCTGTGCGATATACTATTTAAAAAGAAAAGAGGGGGCAAGTGGGTGGCTCAGTCGGTTGTGTCCGACTCGTGGTTTTGACTCAGGTCGTGATCTCAGGGTTGTGGGATCGAGCCCCCCACCCCCCCTTTGGGCTCTGTGCTCAGTGGGGAATCCGCCTGAGATTCTCCCTCTCCTGCTCGTGCTCTCTAAGTAAAATCTTAAAAAAAAAAAAAAAAAAGAACAAGTACAACATAATGTGTAGTGTTGGCTCTCATTCGTGTTGGAAAGAATATATAAATATCTGTAGATTATCTCTGGATGGCTGTTCAAGAAACCAGTAATGGTAATGGCCTTTGGGGAAGGGAATGGGGCGTAAGTGAGGGACACTGGTAGGAGAGAGAAAGAAAACTAAGTTTTCTTTGTATATCTTTTGGTAACTTTCAAGTTTTAAACTATGTACGTGGGTTAATTATTAGCTAATTGCTTAAGAAGCAGCACTAGGTTATTTTATTCCCTTTATAATGACCCCCCGCAGACTTCTCTGACCCCCCATTACCTCTTCCCCTAACAGTGTGTTCCTGGGTTTGGTTCTTCCTGTCTTTCCCCACCTTGGCAGAAAAATCGTAGTTTGTCTTGGGCTAGTTCCCCTGGGCCCTGGGAAGCGTCCCCAAACCCAGTCAACCATCCCATGAATGTGAGACCCGGTCCCCAGGGTGACAGCCAGGTTGGAAGCAGACTCTGCAGACAAAGCCTCTCCAGCTCTGGGCAACATCCTCACTCACTGTGCTCTACTGATGGAGGCGGGGGGTGCGTGGGGGGCCAGCGTATCTGAGAGGGGACCAGGTGGTCTCTGGGAAAATCACACGGGCCCCTTATTCAGGGTGAAGACCAGAGCAAAGCTTGAGAAAAGGTTGAGTGGAGCGCAGGGGGCACCAGGAGGCCAAGGGTCCCGGGAGGGACCATACATGAGTCTCTGTTGCACCAAGTGCTTAAATGTTGTTCACAATGGTCCAGTTCCCTAAGCCCCTCAAAATGGTGTCTGAGGCCTTTTTAGGCTACAGATTTGGGAAAGCAACAGGCTGTGAGAGGTACCTGCTGGTATTGGGTGCTGAGGTATGTTGAATAGTATCCTTCCTACCCCACTTCATGACCACCTGGAACCTTCTTTGGAAATAGGGTCTTTGCAAGTGTAATTAGCTAAGGACTACAAGATGAGGTCCACCTGGACTTAGGGTGGCCCTTCATCCAAATGACCGGTGTCTTTATAAGAAAATGAGAGGGCTAGAGAGACACACAGAAGGCCTTGTGAAGACAGGGGGCCTTGGTTGGAGGGATTCAGCAGTGGGTCAAAGCATGCGGAGGACTGCCAGGAACCACCTGGAGCTAGGAAGAGGGAAGGAAAGACCTTCCCTCGAGCCTTCAGAGGCAGCGTTTGGCCTTTAGCCTCCAGAACTGTGAGGGAAGCAATTTTTGTTGTTTTAAGCCACGAGGTTTGCGGTAATTTGTTACAGGTGCTAATTAAAGTTTCTTCCAACGACCTCATGAAGTTCACGGGAAGGAGCGGGGGGAAGAGAATGAGATTTTCCTCTTTAGAGCCGCGCAGGCTGGAGGCCCCTTGCACCGGAGCCAACCTGGACAGCCAAATGGACAGCTCGTTCAAAATACAGATTCTTGGGGCCCCACCTCAAAACACTGAGTGAGAATCTTGGGTGCTGGGGCATCAAGAATCTGCATTTCCAGTTAGTTCCCAAGACGATTCAAGTTCAAGCATCTCTGCTTTGTATGGATACTCCAATCCTGCCTGAGCTTTCTTTTCTACCATATGCGGGGAAAGGAAGCAGGGAAAGCAAAGACCATCCTGTTAATCTGTTCCCCAGGCCTTGAGGAAGTGGACTGACTTCCCTGTGTCTGAGAGAAAGAGGGACACAGTGGTAAGAACCAGAGGGCCAAGGGTTGATGGGAGGCGGAGAGCAGCCAGAGAGCAGCCAGAGAGGGGGCCCTGGGCTCCAAGTGGAGATTCAAAGTGATCCTGGCAGAGGGAAATGAAGGATTCGTGGGGAGAGGGCCAAATTATACCTTGGCCTGTTGGAAAGCTGCCCCAATTATTTTTAGACAAACGTTGTCATTATTATTGCTTACCTTTTTAAAGAAGCAGTTGTATCTTTGCTGAATTAGTAGAGAAAATCCTTGGCTATGAATCTGAAAGGGCCTGTCCCCTTGGTGGCTCAGGCATAACTCCCCTTTCCTCATGGAAGTTTTTGGAATGTCCTTTCTAATCAAGACACAGCCAGCTTTTGGGAAGCAGAAATTAATACCCTTCAAACGCTGACGGCAAATATTAGCCCAGCGTCTCAGAAGGCGGCAGAACAGCTCAGCCTCTTGGAAAGGAGTCACACAACATTTACAAATGTCTGCAAGGAGTCAGGCCCCTGGGATCTGGTTGCCACTTCAAGGGGCTCCCCGTCTCGGGCCTGCCCTGGAGACCATCTGTGTGTCCCTTCTCTCTCTTTCCCTGGACGTCTTCCATCCCCCAGGATGCATCAGGCTGATGCCCACCATCCATGGAGCAGGCCAAGAGAATGAAGGGACATCGGCCTCCAGTGGCCCCCTGTGGTGCGATGTGAGTGAGGTCCCGCTGCAGGGGGGGCTCAAGAGTCCTTCCCACCATCCTAAGGGAGGCGAGTGGGGGTCTCCGTGTCACCTCCGCCCACTCCGCTCCGTCCTACCTGTTTTAACTGAGGGTTAACACAGCAGAGGCCTTTAAAAAAATCGATGATCTGCATATAAAGCTGAAACTTCTCCTCTGGATATTCTGGGTTGCCACCGGCGAACACCGAACTGACAACAGAAAGGGGAAGACACAGCAACTATTTAGAATCCTCCTCTTTGGCCTCTGCTTGCACCCCCTAAAATATGTGGGTTACAGCGCGAACCAGGCACTTGTAAACACCCCCTTGAATTCACTCACAGACAGGCTGGAGGCCCTTTGGAAGAAGGTTTGTGTTGCCTCAGCTTCCGTGTCACGTGTGGAACCGACGGGAAAAGGGAGACCCTAGGGAGACTGGCTCCCCCGCCCTGATTTCGTGTTCTGAGCTGTGGCCTCTGGAAGAAGGAGCAAGACGGCCTCTCTCCTTCCAAGTATCCCTCAGAGAGCTGCGCCCCACGGTCCTAGTCCCCTGTGGCTGCTCGGGGAGCTCAGGGGGCACCGGCCACGCTTGAGCTCAGTCCCCCCAAGATGGCCCCCTCCCCAGGGGGACAGACCCCGGTGCAGGGAGGCGGCCTGTGCTGCAGACTCCTTCCCCCGGCCTTCCTGGGACCAGGGGAGCAGCCCCATGACGTCAGGAGCCTCAAGTGGTGCCCGGAGAGCCTGCGTGTTGACCTCACGTCCTCCCAGAAGCGGGTCTCACGAGCCGCATAGGAACCCTCTGGCAGCAATCCCTGCCTTCTCCAGCGGTGGCGGAGAACATTTTCTAATAGGTTGTTTTCGTGTTCCGTCAGCAGGGGAAGGAGTTCCAGGTCCTGCTTGGCAAGTACGCTCTGGCAACTTCTGAATCTTTTGAATCTTTTTTTTTTTTTTTAAAGATTTTATTCATTTGTTTGACAGAGACAGAGACAGCGAGAGCAGGAACACAAGCAGGGGGAGTGGGAGAGGGAGAAGCAGGCTTCCCGCCGAGCAGGGAGCCCGATGCGGGGCTCGATCCCAGGACCCCGGGACCATGACCTGAGCTGAAGGCAGACGCTTAACGACTGAGCCACCCAGGCGCCCCCGCTCTGGCAACTTCTTACCAAACTTCTCCTCACAGCCCGAGCCTGGCTCAGAAATAGGAAAGTCCGCCTCCAGCCCATTTCAGCAAAACCAGACTCCACACACGGCTGACCCGCGCTGGAGTCCCCAGAGCCTAAAATCACTTTGGAGCGTTTGGACGAGTCTGTTGAGGCTGGGTGGAGCAGGCCGCCGGGGGAGAGACAGGTTGATGTCTGGTGACTCCCCCAGGTGACAAGGTGACCAGGGGTCATGTGGCCTCGGGGGAGAGTGGGGATAGTCATTGGAATATGAGGAAAGGAATGTCCCCTCGCTCCCAAAGCAGGAAAACGAAATGTTCAGGCCTTCTTTTTAGCCTTCTTAACGGCCTGAGCCTGTAGGCTCTGAGACCACAGCTTTTCAAAGTAGCAAGGGAAAATCTCAGTCCTAAACTAGCTCTCTTTGCGAAAATGGCCCTGTGCTCCAGATTTTGTCAAGCTGCTTGTCTTGCCATCTCCCCAGATCCTGCTTTGTGTCACCTCACTTCACGGGGTCAGCTACCCCCTCCCTCCTTCTTTCCACATCCGTCCCCAGCAGCCCCGTGCAAAGCAGCTTCTTCCCTGCACGGCTCAGACCCCCTCAGCCCAGGGCACAGGCCCGGGGACGTGTTAGCCCAGGTTCTCGATGCCCCCGAGCCTCCGCCCACCTCTCAGACCAGATGCCGTTGCAACCTGCCCATGGCCCCCTCACTCTGGGAAGACGGTGCAGCGTGGACAACCTGCAGCCCATAACCTGCCACGTCTCCGTCCTGGGCCAGGATGGGAGAGTTCTCTATGCAGAGGAAGCCCCAGACTGTGTCCTCCCTAGAGCAGCGGCACAATCCTGGGACCAGCCCACTTTGAACCACAGACAAAAGTGGATCTCTAAGAACTTCCACGGAATTATGCACCCCTCTGCGGGGCTGCAGGGGAGCGGCTCCTAAACATCCCAGCAGGGGCACACACACACTCACTATGTCATACCCCCTTCCTCACCTAGAGCTGGATGTACTGGGAGCCTCACTTTTGTCCAGGAAACTGGCCACATCGAAGGCATCTTCAAAGAGTATCTGAAGGAAGGCACAGAACATGGTGCGTCAGAGCGAACTACAGTCCGACGCTTGCCCTGGGCAGCTGGCAGACAGGACTAGGAAGGCTCTCTCTTGAACCCTCATTCCCAAAAGGTGGGTGAAAGCTGGGGCCCAACGTCAGGGTGTCTGCCTGGTGACTTTCTCAGGCAGTGCCTAGTAAACTCTTGTCCGCCCAGAACAAACCACCACCCCAGAGGTGGTTACAAGGGATTACAAGGGATGGGGAAACACCAGGGAATGTGGTCCTCTCTCTCTCTCTCTTTTTTTTAGAGAGAGAGAGTGCAAGCAAGAGCAGGGCCGGGGGTTGGGGGGGGGGGAGGGGGGGGGGGGAAGAGGGCTTCGGAGAGAGAGAGAGAATCCCAAGCAGGCTCCATGCCCAGCGAGGAGCCCACTGAAGGGCTCCATCTCATCGCCGTGAGATCATGACCTGAGCCAAAATCTAGAGTGGGTCGCTTAACCGACTGAGCCGCCCAGGTGCCCCTAAATCTTTTTCTAGAAGGCGGGAGCTCAGGCGTGAGATACAACAGCCAGAGCCAGGCTTCCGTGTACACCGGCAGAGAGCTCATCTACACCTCCCAAGGAGCGGAGGCTATTCGTGCCCAAGGATCCGCAAGCTCGCAGTTTCATGCCAGGCAGCAGGATAGGAGGGGGGTAGTTTTGGGGTTAGGCTGCAGGAGAGCCGACTCCCAGTCCTGCCACTCACTCAGCTGCGTGACCTTGGGCAGTGACCTTGTTTCCGGAATCCTCCTAAAGAAAGGGAATCACAACAGTGCCTACCCATAGGGACGTTGCAGGAATTAAATAGATGAGGTACGTGAAACACCCAGCGCATAATAATGCCTCCAATTTGTTAGCTATTATTGACTATTAACTGCTTTATAAAAGAGACGTATGCATGTTTATTGTGGAAATTTTGGAAAATAGAAACAGATAAAATCACTGAGAAACAATCCCAGCCAGAGAGGTCCACGGCTGACATACTGACCTATTTCCCTCTGGTCATTTCCTCAGGCACATTATATCCTATATTTCCAATTTTGCAATCTTGTTACTTGGATGGTTTTCAGTCCTGCTTTTCTTTAATTCTTGAAGACTATTAAATATTCCACAGGAATGTGAGGTACCGTTAGGAATGCAAGATTTAGCAAATAAAGATGCAGGATGCTTAGTTAAATTTGAGTTTTTAGATAAAGAATGAATCATTTTTTAGCATAAGAATGGCCCAAATATTGCATGGGATGTTCTTATATTAAAATTTTCACTGGGCATGCCTTACTGCGTCTGACACCCCATTTATAAGCACAGCCACACTGAGAAGAGGAGGGAGCTCTCTGGCCCTGAGTTGGGGGTTCTGGCAGGTTCTGCAGGGTCTCTCCTGTCCCCTTACCTGGGTCACACTGCTCTTTCTCTGGAGGCCTCACGTCTGCCCTTCTTGTCTTCTTACAATTTGCCTCCCCTGAACCGAATCCCCGGGACTCTGGGCATGTGGCCGGCCCCTCTTCTGATCTTCTGGACATTTTATGGTTTCTTTTTTTTTTTTTTTTAAAGATTTTATTTATTTATTTGACACAGAGAGACAACAGCGAGAGAGGGAACACAAGCAGGGGGAGGGGGGGAGCGAGCAGCAGGCTTCCCGCCCAGCAGGGAGCCCGATGCGGGGCTCGATCCCAGGACCCTGGGACCATGCCCTAAGCCGTAGGCAGACCTTAACAACTGAGCCACCCAGGCGCCCCTGTTTCCTTTTTTTTTTTTTTTAATAACCCTTCGCTCATCTCGAAGAGGATCTGAAAAGAGGCCACTGAAAGGACTAGCCCAGAAGCCCATCCATCCACTGTGTGTTCTTCCCTAGCAGGTCTGAGGCAGGGTCCGGGGCCCTAAATTCCTGCCTTTGGCCAATCAGCCCACTGACGTTCTGGGCCACACACTGTCCTCACCTGTGCATAGCCCTCTTGCCACTAGCCTGGGAGGGGCACTGCCAGGCTCCATGCCCACTCTGGAGCGCCCAGCACACTTACAGGGCCATGCTTCTCAGAGCCTCCCAGCACACCTGACCCTGCAGGCAGAGGCCGGCCCCAAACACAATCGTTCTGCAGCAGAACCTCTCCAGATGGACCAGGAGCTATAGAGGTTCCACTGCAACTGATCTAGAAGCCAGAGTAGAAGTAGCTGTGTCTCTGTCCCTGCCCTGGGCAGAACTGTTGTCTGTCCTGCCTACCTTGTCACCCAGCCCTGGGTTGGCCCAAACCTGGGGACGGCTGTGCGGCAGAGCCCTGGTCTAGGCACAGCTGAGGGACTCTGCTGCCACCTTCCCTCAACAGCAGGAGAATGTGAGCCCTTCGTCCTTTCTGAAAAAGGTAAGAGAAGCTGCTCCCATGATTTGGGGACATGAGATTCTGGCTTGGGTCTGCTCTTTCTTGAGGAAAGGTTTGTGCTGCAAATGCGCACATACACATATGGTCAGGTTACAGTTGGACAGACTTGCCCGCACATTTGGCAGATGTTTTCCTTTTGCTTTCTTTGTGTGAGCCTCCAGGGCCAGGCACTTCGGGGCTACAAGGACATGCAGGCCGGCTGACACGTGCCATGGGTACGACGAGGTCCTCAGCTATTGGTTTCCTGGCCCTGCTTGAACCATTATGGAGGAGAACTCACGTCCTCTCCTGGTGGACCAAACATTAGTGGACAAACAGATGAGAAGCCAAAGTCCATGGAGTGACTGTTGGGGGAGGGGAGCAGTTATGGGCGGAGCTGATTGTTGCTTTTCTGCGCAGGGAGTTCCTTCCTGTAATGCCCTCGTGCACCACTCACCCGGGATGCTTGCTAAAGATGCAGGTTCAGGGGTGTGTGGGTGGCTCAGTCAATTAAGCGTCTGCCTTTGGCTCAGGTCATGATCCCAGGGTCCTGGGATCGAGCCCTGCATCGGGCTCCTTGCTCAGGGGGGAGTTTGCTTCTCCCTCTGCCCCTACCCCACTTGTTCTCAATCTTTCTCTCAAATAAATAAAATCTTAAAAAAAAAAAAAAAAAGCAAGTTCGGAGCCACCCCTAACCCCTCAGGAACTCTGATTCAGTGGGTCTGAGGTATTAGGTACCCGCCTCTTTACCAAAGTCTACTTGAAAAGGATGAGGGGATATTGTGAAGGTTGACCATAAACACGTGACCAAAGGGCAGAAAGATTTGAGAAATTCTGTGATGAAGGGGATCCAGGAGCTGGGCCTCCTGGACAAGTCACCCCACTCGTTAGGCCTCATCTGTCAACTGGCAGCACTGGACTGGGTGGCCGGCATTCTGTTGTTCTCCAGGCCTGGGGCCCTGAGGGCTGGGAAGCTTCTGGAAGGATGGGGCGTTCCAGGGCTGTTCCCCGGGGTCATAGGCACTAGGAAGCTGTCTGGCTCTAAGGCTCCCCAGAGAGTCACAGGACATCTCCTGAAATAGACCACCTGCGAGGGGGCGTTTGGAAAGTCAGGGCAAAGCGGAGCAGTGGCATTCACCTGGTGGAGGTCATGGATGCTAAACATCCTGCAGCGCACAGGATGGGCGCGGAGAGCAAGGAACTGCCTGCCCCAGGCTGGAGAAGCAGGTCAGATGCGGCCCGTGTGGTAGCCGCAGGCTCCGGAGGCCGTTCTAATTCTGGAAGTGCAGCTGAAGGGCCCACTCCGATCTCAGCACTGAGGGGCCATTCATGCCACCAGACACACTGCATTGCTGACCACAGCTTCCGACAGCATGAACTCTGAGAGGGGCATTTACAGTGAAGATGCGGTTGCCTCTCCACATGCATTCCTCTCTCATCACTGAAGGGCAGCAGTGCTCTTTGGGGTGGGGACTGACTTCCTCTGGGGGACTGGGCCTGACTGGTCCCCCCCTAATACTATCTCAGTGATGTCGGTCATTGGCTCAGTCATCTGGCCAATTCTGGCCAATGAGAGGGCAGGAGAAGTATGGCGGAAATTTCTGGAAAAGTTCTTCCTTGACCCTTAAAAACGAGCCCCAGGAATCTTTCTCTCTCTAACCCGATGTAGAGGAGGAGGGATGACAGCTCGGTTGCTCCCAGCTGCCATTCCCCAGTCACACGGGATAGGGAAGGGAGGGAGGGGAGACAGGGTGAGGAGCCAGCTTTACGACGACGAGGCAGAGCAGGGAGAGGGGAAGAACCAAGTCCATGGTGACGTCACTGAGACTAGCAGGAAGCCCTCCTGACCTTGGGACCGCCCTTGGCTGTGAGACGTACATTTCTGCATAGTTTAATGAGCAAGTAACTTGCAGTCAAAATAATCCCAGCCTTCTAAGCGTTCTCTTTGGTAATCCCCATGGAAAGGTCCGGAAGCGGGAGAAAAAGAAATGCCAATCTGTGGTTGTAGAGCTTCCATCGGATGAATCAGAAACCCACCATGGGAGTCAGAATCTAACCATTACCTCAAATGTGGTAAATGACCCCAAGTGGATCCCTGGTGCCTCCAGGCCAAAGGTGACAGAATCTTTCCTGTGCGCCCCTCCACCTGACCCAGAGAGGGTCTGCTCACCTCCTCCGGGGTGGAGACGAGCGAGCAGCTGGCTCCTTGGCTGTCAACCCCGCTGTCCTTCAGGCTGCCGTCGGCACAGGCCGGCTCCTGGCAGGCACCGGCAAGGCCCTGGAGGCCGCAGTGCCTCTGTGCCCAGGCCTGCAGGAGACTGGTCTTCCTCTCCTCAGAGAGGTTCTGCCATAGGTGGGAGATGGCGGCAGAGACGATGGGGAGCGTCACCTCCTGTGAGGAGACAATCCCGTTCCCAATCAGAAGGTCCATCGCCTGCTTGTAAAAGTTGAGATACCTGGAACAGAAAAAGCATCATCTCCCAGACCTGAAGCCAGTGGCCGAAGGTCCCTCCCTAAGCCATCTCCTCAGGCTTCCGTTGGCAGGGTGTGGTCCACAGCGCCTGAGCCTTGCCACAGCTCTGCGGTTTACCAGGGGCTTCACCTTCCTAGTCTGCATGCCCCTGACACTTGGAGAGCAGTGGTGTCATGGGTGACATAGATCTAGTGTCCGGGTCCTTCCCCAGAGTCCCCATGGAGCTCTCTGCCTGACAGAAGAGAGAACTAGGGAGTGTGGCCTGCTCAGCTCTCAGCCCATGGGAAAACTGCTTAAAATTCCAAGCCCTGTGAATGGGCAGACATGATACGATGCTTGCTTAAAATTCCAAGCCCTGTGAATGGGCAGACATGATACGATGCTTGTTTCAATTCAGGGCCTGAAATTCAGGCTCAGCTGTGGAACGAGCCTCCTTCTATTGGGCCAATACCTCCAGAGGCCAACGTGGCCGCCATGGGTCTTGAGTCTGTGGAGGGACGGTGAGTGGCAGTAGGAGTCTGAACCAGTCACTCACCGTGTTTCTTACTATGAGACCAGTAATACAGGTAGGGCGTGTGTGTGTGTGTGAGTGTGTGTGTGTGTGTGTGTGTGTATGGGGGTGTTTGGTCCCCGTAATCCCCATTGACAGCCCCCACAAAGTCAACTCCAAATAAATACCTGGTCTAAGGAAGCCCAGTGTATGTGCTGTGCAATGTAGCTTCAAGATTATTTCTCTAGCCCCACTGCCAACCCCATCCCAAATCCTGCCAATATGGAAATTCTGGAGCTTCCTTGATTCGGGGCCTGGTCTGAGAGTGCACTGAGGATGCCGCATGTCACAGACAGAGCCTCTGTCCCCTTCTCCATGGGCTATGCATGAAGCCACCCTCCCAGCTGTTCACACCGTTCAAATTCCATGAGGTCTGGCAACAAGGTGACTGGGGAGTGTAAGAGCTCCACTTTTTTCTCTTCCTCTTCCTCCTCTTCCTCCTCTTCTTGGTCTTCCTCCTCTTCCTCCCCCTCAGCGTCCTTCCGGACTGCCTCGATTGGGCACCAGGTGGCAGAGATTTTCTGAAGAACCTTATTTGAGACCAGGCTAGTGAGAAAACAGAAACAAGACGACCACAAACTTGAACTCTTGAATCCTCGTGAACATTGGCACTGAGATTCTGAAGGCAATGTTAGTGTTGGGGCGTGTGCGCGCGTGCGTGTGTGTGACCAAGTGGGGTTTATTCTAGGAATGCAAGATGGCTGGTTCAAACTTTGAACATCAGCGGAACTCAACATAGCAACAGACTAAAGAAGAAAAACCATATGATCACCACAACAGACACAGAAAAGCACTTGGCAAAATGCAATATCCATTCCTGACAAAAACTCTCTGCAAACTAGGAATAGAAGGAAACCTCCTCAACCTGATAAAGGGCATCTACAAAAAACCCTACAGCTAACATCATATTTGACAGTGAAAGACTGGATGTCTCTCGGCCTAGGTCCGGATCAAGACAAGAATGTTCAGTCTTACCACTTCTACCCAAAATTGCACTTGAGATCCTACCCAGTCCGATAAGGTGAACAAAAGAAATAAAAGATAAACAGATTGGAAAGGAAGAAGTCACACACAAATATATGACTAGAACTAAGAAGGGTGTTTAGCAAGGTTGCAGGATACAAAGTCAATAAAGAAGAACCAATAATATTTCCATATATCAGTGATGAACAACTGGAAATAACAATTTTAAAAATATACCACTTACAATAGCAGCCCAAAACATGAAATACTTAGGTTTAAACCAAAAGCTCAGTTTGAAAAAGAAAAAGTAGATAAGTTAGACTTCCATCAAAATTTTTAAATTCTCTTCAAAAGGCAGTTTTAACAGAGTAGAACAGGGGCGCCTTGGTGGTGCAGTCAGTTAAGTGCCTGACTCTTGATTTTGGCTCATATCGTGATCTCGGGGTCGTGAGTTCGAGCCCCGTGTCACTCCATGTGCAGAGTCTGCTTCAGATTCTCTCTCTCTCTCTTCCTCTGTCCCTCCCGCACATGCTCTCTCTCTCAAATAAATAAATCTTTAAAAAGAGAGAGAGAGAGAGTGGAACAATATGACACAATTTGGAAAACCAGGATTTGTACCCAGAATCTCTTCATCCTGATAGGAATGATCCCCAAGGAGATATGATGTTGAGTTAAAATACAAGTGCACCAGAAGAAAACCTAAGAGGATTATTTTAATTTTTTTTTTAATTTCAGAGCAGAGGAAGCTTTTCTGTGTATTCTCCCAAACCTAAGTCGTGAGGACAGATCGGCAGATTAGACTTCATTTTTTGCATGGCCAAAACAACAAAAACAAAAACAAAAAGATCAAAAGCAAAATAATAAAACAAATGACCAAGGGATAATTATTTGCAAGTCATGTCCTAAAAGAGAGCTAATTTCTTGGTATACGTAGAGGGCTTCTATAACTATGTAAGAAAAAGACCACCAGCCCAATAGGAAAATGGGCAAAAAAATAGTCACAAGAAGTTCCCAGGAAGGGAAATACAAGTGCTCCTGGACAAAGGCACTCCATTTCGCTCATAATTTAATTAATTAACATATAATTATAAAATATCCGTTCCTGAGCTGGTGCCACACTTTTTAATTGCTGCAGGCTTAAAATAGTGCTAGTGAAAAATCCTAATCATTATGATTTTAAAAGAAATTTAGCCATTCTCATGTGGGCACATGATAGAAGTGGTGATAGGATTTTAGTATGGGATGAAGCGTGTTATCTTACACTGGTAAGCAAAGGATGGCTTATGTGATGACTGGGGTTGGGATGAGCCGCTAATCGCTTACGGATGAGACTGTCCCTCCTCGCTGATTGTGAGGTGGTGCTTGGGGTCTTACCTGGGATTTCCAGAGTACTTCCTGGCATATTCTGCCTTGAGCTCCTCTAAGCTGTTTGCATTCCCATCGTCCAGGTTGAAGGACTCTGTTGGGGAGGAGAAGGCAAGGGTCACAAAGGGGGAAGTCTGGCCTTTGTCGAGTCTCTCCTGCCCTTCCCATCCAGGCGGACCCTGAGTGGTCCCTGAGCCCGCCCAGATTCGGTGTTACAGACACAAGGGTCCAGTTTCCCCTCTCCTTCTAGATGTGACGAGCTTCTTGACCCGGCCCTTTTCAATCAAGACACTAAAATATCCCTTTTTAGAGTTTAGTTTCCACCAGCTTATGAAACCCACATTCCCGGGCAGCCACCGCTCCCAACTTGAGTGCCAAGAAAGGGAGCCACGCTTTGCCTTTGCTTTTGAGTCCGACAAGCACCGGTCTGCATCCTCTCAGGTCTCTCAAGATAGGATCAGGTACCTGATGACGTCTGTCTGTCCTGCCAGTCTGTAAGCTCGCTGAGTGCAGGAGCATGAATCTCCTTGTACCCCTGGCCCAAGCGCAGTGCCTGGCAAACGGTAGGCATGCAATACATATTTGTTCACTTGGCTTAGCCCAATCTCTCTGTTTTCGATGGAAAAACCAACCAGTCTTTCCGTGGGAAGGAGATGGGGGTGGCAGATTGGGGGGGCGGGTCTAACCTTTCAGCTTCAGCAGATTATCCAAGGTTTGTTCCAGCTCCTGAATGTGGTTCTTCGCCTTATTCAAAACCTGCCACTGAAGACAGAGACAGACAATGCTGAAAAGCCTGCCTTCCACTGCACACACTGTGGTTTTGTGGACACAGGAGTCCATTCCCCGGTCTGAAGCCATGCTCACTCAGAGGCAAAGTCACATTCCTCGACATTGTCAACAAAAAGGGGGGAAGGGGATCGAGTTTGTTCTGATGCGCAGAAGGCATGAAGTTTAATTTGTACTCTGGAAATGGTTCTCACAGAAATACTCAACTATTTAGAAACAGGCCGTGTTCAGCAAACTACTAGGGCTTCAAAAGGGCAAACCAAGTATATATGCTCCTTGAAGTTGGAATGAACAGTGAGTGAAGAGCAGCCCCAGGCTGGCACCAAGATCCAGGGCTAACTTCTGCTCGGTTGTCACAATGAGCAACTGGCTGGCTAATACCAAATGTGCTGTGCTAACGGTAGTTTTATTTGCTAAATGCAGACACTCTGGTTGATCCAAAAGCTGCTCAAATGCTCTGTCCACGTGAACTCTGAATGTCCTGTTGCTGCAGCACTAAATCGCAAGCGTTTCTCCCTCCCTCCCTCTCCCGTATGTAATGTTCCTAAAGTCAAATGGTAACTGCGTGATTATTCAAACACAGGAAACGCTAACTGTTGTTTATCATGCTGACCACCCATACCTGTCCGGAGTTACATACGTTCATCAGGCACGTGTTAACAGGCAAAGCTGTGTGTGAAGCCCCGGGGACACGGAGTAAATAAGACAGCCCCGGCTTTCCAGCAGGAAAGACAAGACGAGCAGGGAAACCCCTACTCATAACACAAGCTAGAACTCAGTAAGCACTGAAGGGAGTAGAAGCGAAGGGCTGTGGAAACACATGGGAGGAGGGGCTGATTCCAGCTGGAGGCATCAGGAAGACTCAGAGCAGGGCAGCCGAGTGAGTGGGCCACGCCGAGCACCGTCTCAAAGGCAGAACTCGGGGCAGGGGCAGGGACAGAGAGGCGGGGGATGGGGGCCGCCCCAGGGAACTGTCGAAGCCAGGTGTGGCCAGAGCCCAGGGCGGGCAGAGGTAGACGATGTCAAAGCGGCAGCCAAGGGTGGACAGCCCCGGCGCCATTCCAACATCCCACTGACTCTGTCTGGTGCACGCCAAGGAGGCTTGAGGGGAGCGAGAAGAACCGCACTCTGCCAGCCCAAAAGACAGTGACCCGAGAATGCAGTGGACTGCAAGATCTCGAACACTCTTTGTCGAGCAGGGTCCGCCTGATGTCCCAGATGATCTGCTGCCCCCAGTCCCGGGGCTCACGATTGTACTGTCGGGCTAGCAAGGACTCTTTTTCCTATTCGGACACCAGGCCCAACTGGTTTCCCGAACGTCAGGCTTGGTCTTAATTGGGATGAGGTGAGGTCATCCTGGCCCTCTCTGGTCCAGAGTGAGCCGCTGTGTTGGCTCAGCAGGGACACCCCATGCTCACTTGCAGTCTTTGTGGGCCAACCTACAGAGCCATGGAAACCAGGTGCAATTCACTGAAATTCTGTTTCTGGAATGTTTTTGGCAGGCTCATGAGGACTTTAGTTCTGGGTTGAATTACATCTCCCTGAAAAAGATTATGTTGATGTTCTAACCCCCAGAACCTGTGAATGTGACCTTGTTTGGAAATAGGTCCTTCACAGAGGTCACCACGCTAAAATGAGGTCATTAGAGTGGGCCCTAATCCAGTATGACTGGTGTCCTTATTAAATGGGGACACTCGGATGCAGAGACAAACACGCACAGAGGGAGGATGAGGTGAAGACAGAGGGAGAAGACAGCCATGTGACCGGAGGGAGGCATCTCTAAGCCAAGGAACACCGAGGAATTGCCAACAAACGCCAGAAGCTGGGAGGTGGGCGGGGGGGTTTCTCACCTAGAGCCTTCAGAGGGAGCATGGCCCTGTGGACACCTTGATTTTGGACTTGGAGCCTCCAGACGTCCACCACAATAATTTTCTGTTGTATCAAGCTGCCCAGTGCCTGGTATTTTGTTATAACAGCCCTAGGAAACTGACAGAACCTGCTTACACCTTGACTCCTGTAGATCAGATCCTGCCTTCACGGATATTACGAATGCAAAATTCAGGGTGGTCCCTCCAGCAGGACAGAGAGAGGAGGAGAACAGAGAGAACTCCTTGACCACACAGTGTTTCCCAGGCAAACGGTTTGACTTCCTGACCCCTCTGTTTCCTCATCCGTAAAATGGGGCGATCTGAATGGAACTGCAGGGGCTAAGTGAGCGAACACGCTGGGAAGCGGTGCTAACACTTAAACCACTCTGACGCACCATATCTTTCCATGCAACCACCTTGTGAGACACCACCACAGGCCCCTGAGGACACCGTTACTATCGTCCCTGTTGAACAGAGTGGTGACTGAAGCCTGGCCAGGAACGTGCCTCCCGTGGGCAGAGGCCAATCCACCAGGCTCTCAGCCGCCACGTCGTGAGGTACAAACTATAGGGGGTGCAAGTGAGTTTTCCTCTACATTTACTTCCATTCCTTCCTTTGGGGCCCTGAACACATGGTCTTCCTCGGGTTACGCCCCCCAGTCTGCGTGCACTTCTTCACTGGCCAGTGACACGGATTTTGGGGTTTTCCCACGTACCCCTGGGAACGGGGAGCCTATTCCTGTTCATCCAGGGGACATGGCGCAGACCGATGCTGGACAGGCTCTTGGCCCTGAGCCCCTGAGCCTGGCTTAGCAGAGGGAGGAAGAAGAGCCCTCCCCACACCTCCCACCTTCCACACCCTTCTACAAGAGCAGGTGGGATCTCTGTTGGGATTCTTTCAGCAAAAAACACTCGCGGCCCTACTTGGCACCTTGCACCAAGGTGCTTGGGGGCGCCGCTCAATTAAGACCCATTCACAGAGGCCCTGGCTCAGTGCCTGCCGAGGAGCGATTCTGCGGGCTGGCCTCGATGAGAATCCTGTGTTAGCTCCGTCAGCAAGAGACTAGGAGCCCAGGCCCAGCAAATGTCCCTGTCCTTAAGTGTCACTTCCCTGAAAGCACCAGCCGCGGAGGGAAAGCCCGCTGGCTGGAAACAGTCACAGGGCCACGGGCTGGTCTCTGGTCTGGAGCTGGGAAGGGAGGCCCTCCTCCTGGTCCTGGCTCCAGTCCCTCCTCTGGTAGGAGAGGGTGGGGAACGGGAAGCTCTCAGGGCCCCCTCCCCTACTGGAGACCTCCTATAATCCTCCTCCAGTAATAGGAGCTCCATGCCTTCCTGCATCACCCCAAACCACCTGCACCTTCCTCCGTACTCTGCCAGAGGCATGAATAGGCAATGAAGAAGCCATATAAGGAGAGAGGCGAAATCAGGAGCAGGAAAAGATAAATGCTTACCTGGAGAGCTCTGGTGCCTAGGGAAAAGACCTGGTTGGTGCACAAACCCAAGTTGCACGTGTGTGTGTGTGTGTGTGTGTGTGTGTGCGTGCGCATGTGTGTTTGGAGTGGAGACGCAGTGTCCGGAAGCAGCTGCTAGAGGCTCAGCCCTGTCCACTGGAGGGCTAGGTACAGGAGCCCCTGGCTGACCGGTCCCTGTTATTTCCTTTCTGGTGCCAGCTGTGTCTGCCACCGGTGGGGAAGGCCCAGCTCACGCTTTACCCACGTGCAGCCAAAAACAGTGCACGGGAGATGCCCACAGCAGATCCCTGACCCCACCCGGGCGGCAGCCCTCGGGGTGGGGGCGGTGGGAGTGGGAGCTCCAGGCCGGTCCCCACTCCTCCTGGCCCCGCAGTCCCTCACGTGTGCAGACTGTTCCTCCCACACCAGGTCCCCATACCTTGGAGGCTATGAGATCGGAATGGGAGTAGACCGTTTTCCTGAGGTTGCTGAACAGCCCCGCCAGGGTGGCTCGGTGGTGGGCCTGGGACAGGCGTCGGCGGGCCACCCGCCGCTCGAGCTCCTGCAGCTGTGCCAGGGGCCAGGGAGTCGCTCTGCCACCAGGGTTACTGCCTTCTCCGGAGGTCGCCATGCTAAGCTGCAACGTAATGTTATGCCCTTTGGGGGCCCTAAAGAATGAAGGTACAGTATTAAAGAAAGAGGAAGGCAGATTGAAGGAGAAAGAAAGGGTGTACCACTCCTAAGTAACAGGTCCCAAACCAATGTATATAATCAATAACAGATACACAAAATAGATGACACCAAATCTCTTATTTAAACTGAACTCCTAAACCGCTCCTATTTGACTCAACAGTTGAAGGGCACTGGGGCTTTATTTCAGGAAGTTTCCAGAACACTGCGGGTACTCACCAGACACTTAATTGACTGGCTGTGGCCCAGGAGAGCAAGACAGGCCCTGAGACCTCGTTCCTCACAGTCTGTGAAGAACTGAGCATGTGGCCCACCCTTTGAGGGCTTTCCTACCATGAGAATGCACCCCTCTTTGATCTGGGTAGTGGTTACACAGGTATATATTCAAAAGGAGATCCATCAAGGCACGTCCTTAGATTAATGAACCTTTTCATATATAATATCATATATATAATATCTCAAAAAGAAGAGATGTACTCTTCCACCTGTGAAAGCAAGAAGTCACGTGATGACAGAGAAGTGGAAGCAGGCTTGCCTTGTCCTGCTTCTAGTGGGTTCTGAAGATGATCCTTATGTTGTCTCTTGTCACATCTGAGTTTACAAACCATGAGCCCGTCCCTGGGAGAGGTGATTCTGGGACTGATACAGAACAGTTTAATAGAAGACAGGGACCGAAGTCTCTTACCTGAGCCATGGACCCCGCCTTCAGGTGCTCACCCCACCACTCAGAGGACAGCCAGCTCTTTGAACAGAGAGGCTGCATCTTCATCACCTCTGTACCCCAGGATGTGCTCAGTGCTGGGGTTTTGAGTGAATTAGAATGGGAGCCCTCCGCTGGGTCCACGCGGCCCTGGGCTCAGTCCAGCTGCACAGGGACAACGCATGACCTCAGCCAAGGGCCTGCCAATTTTGGTGTATGACGGTCCCCTGGGGGCACTGGGGAAAATACACATGCTCAGGCCCCACCTCGACAACACCGGATCTGAATCTTCTGCGGGGGAGGGGAGGCAGGCATCTGAGGGGCAGCCTGCTCCCCAGGTGAGGCTGACATGTTCACAGTTGGAGCCCCCACGAGGGCACGCACAGCGACACCCCTCTTCCAGCACCCCACTGGCAGCTGGGAATGAATTCTCCTCCGCAGAGGGAGTATCGGGGAGGAGGCTTGAGAAACCTTTCCTGCTAAGTTCTGGGGGGAGAATTCAGCCACAGAGATAGTGAAGCCAATCAGGCAGTGTGGGATTTTAGAACACTGTTTGGGGGGGGGGGCGCCTGGGTGGCTCAATCGGTTAAGTATCTGCCTTTGGCTCAGCTCATGATCCCGGGGTCCTGGGATCGAACCCTGAGTTGGGCTCCTTGCTCTGGGGGGGGGGCTGCTTCTCCCTCTCCCTCTGCCTGCCGTTCCCCCTGCTTGTGCTCTCTCTCTCTGTGTCAACTAAATAAATAAAATATTAAAAAAAATAAAATAAAATAAACACCATTTAGGGTAGAAAGCAAATCTCCTACCAACAATGCACTTTTCACCAGTGGGTATATTTGCCCTCGCTTTGCTTCTCAGAACAATGGCAGGAAGATGGTAAGTGGGTGCCACTGTGGTGGGCTGCACTGACCCTGAAGCTCCTGGGACATTTATTACCAGGAACGCCACCATCAGCGCGTGGAGGACAGCCACGGGCTCTGCACAGCCCCATCCAGCCTGAGGGCTGGGTTAAAAACTCTCTTACAGCGGACACTGACACATCTTTAATAGGAGGCAAAGTGAAACAAGGAAAGTTTTGAACTGCCTAGGGAAAAATGAGAACCTTTTGAACCTAAGAACATAGGTTTTCTTTATTTGCTTAAATTAAGGAGAAATGAATGTGCCTGGATACCAGGGAATTTAGGTCAACAAACAGAGGTAAAAATACCAGAGTTCTCCCAAGATCTAGAATTCTCCAATAGTCTCAGAATACTGATACCAAAGGCCCCCGGGCTTGTGGGGAATCTGGAGTTCTTAAGGTGCCAATGGTCACTTGGCTTTCCTCCCATGCTCCTACCCAAACACGCCCCACCTGAATTCCTGAATGTGGTTTTAGTCATGGACAAGGGCGAAGCCTGCCCTTATCCTGCCTCTCCCACAGGGGACAGACCCCCCCATTACTTCTGCCCCTGGGGACAGCCTTCACTGCCTGTCACTGGGGGTGAGGACAGTCCCAGAGCATCCTCCCAGCCCCTGCGGAGCTGGGGCCTCTGCCTCACCCCACCTGCTGCAGGCACCCCAGGGTCAGGGGTCTGAGATATTTTCCCTCTTGAAGCGGGGGGGGGGGGCACACCATGGGGATGATGGGAGATATTAAGCAGATATTAAGCCTGATAAGACCTTGTGCAGTTGTAAATGTCCTACTCCTAAATGCTGCATCCTTCTCTCCACTAGGAATGCTCTGCTGTGATCTCCAGAAGGCATTCTTCTCAGGCTCTCTTTGTTCACTTGCGCTGTGGACCTGACAGGAACTGAGGCAGGTATTTTTCAGACCGAGCTTTTTGTTGCCATCATATGAGTGGGTCTGTCCTGTCTGCACCTGTGATCTGTGTCAAGGGGTGGTTCGCCCAGGATGAGTACCACAGAAGTCACAGACTCCGTGGGGAGGGGAGGCAGGACCCTCCTCCCGCCATTTTCCTCAGGTTGGCTCTTTTGCTAGGCGAGGGAGAACGAACTCTAAAAATGAGATTGGGCAGGGATCTTTTATTTAAAACAGGACAAAACCAAAGCAAACCTTTTCTCCTAAATGGCCTGTGCAGGTGCCAAGCCTGTTAAGGAAACTGCCTCCAGTGCTGTAAGGAATTAGAGCCGTGTAGAGAGTATAGTCTGAGACGCCATCCCTGGGGCCTGGAAATCTGCATTTTAAGAGCAGACCACCCCCCCCATTTTCCCTTCTCTCACTACCAACAACAGAAACATTTGCTCTCCTGCCCACCACCCTCTATTCTGTGGCCCCCTGCCTGCCCTCCCACCTGGGACACTGTCCCTCTCTCTGTCCCCCACCCCCAGTCTCCACCCATGGAGAGTCAACTTGTCCTTCAATTCCTAGGGTAGGCCCCATTTCCTCTAAGAAGTCGCCCAGGCCCGGCCATACCGGTTTCAAACTTAATCTTGTTTTGCCAACAAATTAGTAAGATCCTTGGTCAGGATTCAGTTACCCAGCTGGGTACATCTAAAGTGTCCCTCCCAGGGTGAGTCAGAACAGGGTAACTACAAGAAAGGATTAAGAAAAGACACTGGGGGCAGGGAATAACAGCTCGTCTGCCCCAAACCCCAAAGACCTCTCTGGATCCTAAGCATTAGATCTCTTGAGTTCAGTTCTTGGTCAGATTCACAGTGAGAGGCACACGTTTGAGAAGCTTAACGCTTTGAAGGGGACGCTGGCCAGTTGTTCTCTAAGAAAGGTGGGGAGGGATTACCCGGGGCAAGCACCTGGATATCCTATTCTGACTCAGGAAACTTGCCATGTTCAGAGGCTGAGTTTGAAAGTCTGGGCAGCTGAAATGTGTGAGGATCTAGGGATCTCAGTACAGAGCTAGTGGGTGGAGGGAAGCTGGTCCTAAGGACCCACCGTGGGTGGGATGATGCACAATGGTGCACACGGACATGGTACCCAGCCAGTGGGATGAACTGGTGTAGGGAAAGGCAGGCTGGAGTAGGGATTGGCTCAAGACCTGGGTTGTAGCTCCAGCTCTGCATTAGCCAGACATGTGACTTTGTATAAGCCAAGAAGCCTGAGGTCTTAATGTCTTTATCTGTAGAAAGGAGGGGAGAAAGCCTTTCACTAGATTATAGTTGAAACTCTTCTGCCTCTCTAAGGCCATTGTCATGATTCTATGACGATGTGGGGCAAAAGCACGCAGCATGGGCTGCTCATATCCTGACAGAAGTGGAGCACGGAGCCCACAGCCGTGTGGGAAGCTGCATCTGAAGGAATTCTGGGCACAGCAACCCCAGGGACAAATGTTTACCGGGCACTTTTTCTGTGCAAATCCCATTTATTCTGCAGGAAACTGGGGTCAAAGACACTAGGCATTTCAAAAATGGCCATAGCTCTGATATATATTTCCTTTTAAAAGCTTTTTACTGTGTTCAAACCTGTTCATCAGATCAGTGTGCTAAGCACACTCTTCAGTCTAACAAAATCAGAAGACACCTTCATCCATGCATTCTTCTAGAAAGGCACTGTGACAATTCATATTGTCATGCCTTTTTTTTTTATTTCTCATCTATAAAGCAAAGCATACTTTCATTACCAAATACTTAGGTATTAAAACACCACTTAATACCCATTTGGAGCTGACGTTTTTAAAATTCCTTAGACGAAATTTTTATTTTTATTTTTAATTTTTTTTAAAGATTTTACTTATTTGTCCGAGAGAGAGAGAGAGAGAGAGAGAGCACAAGCAAGTAGAGCTGCAGGCAGAGGGAGAAGCAGGCTCCCCGCTGAACAAGGAGCCAGATGTGGGACTCGATCCCAGCTGGGATCATGACCCGAGCCGAAGGCAGACGCCTAACTGACAGAGCCACCCAAACGTCCCTAGACGAAATTTTTAAAAAATACGACCTCACCCTCTCTGAGACTCAGGGCAATTGTCATCATTTTTAAGCATCACTCCACAAAACATTTGAGTGTGGTTCTCATTAGCAAACCCTAGGCAAACAGACACAATACGCTGGATAATGTTTTGCAGCCCATAGGCAGCTTCCTATGGTTCCCTAAGCTTATCAGATCATGTCAAAGAAAAATCCAGAATCATCCTCAGAACGATCTGGTTTGTCACGGTGATACAGACAAATGCTCACTGCAAGCCTGGCCCCAGACCTAAATGTTCCCCTGCTTGGATTCACGGCCATGGATCCATCACAGGTACGCGAACAGCCACATCGCCAAGCGCACCTGGCCGAAGATGCGCAGGCGCGGG